TTGATTTTAAAGTCTTTCTCACATTTTCATCCCAAATCTTGAGATATGGAATTCTTTGAGTTATATATATGATTTTAGCATGTCTAAGTCTATTTTTTCCATGGCTTTGAATGTAGGGTTTGGGTTTTGTAGTGTGGGTTTCGAAAATGTTGAAGAAAATTACTTTCTTGTGAGAATGTTCAAATTAAAAATATTTTATGAAATCGTAAAACTCTTGGGAGTACCTTGTTAGGAGATTCCATGAAAAATGAAGGAAAAACCTTTTTGGATCAAACACTAGTTTTGAAGAAATTTGGGGCAAAGTAGATTTTGTGAGATATCCATGAAATTGTTGTTAAATTCCTCATGAAATTGATAGAAACCTCCTTATGTTGATTGTGTAGTTGAGATATCCATGGGATGGAAAAATGTTGTTGAAAAATGTTGATATTCTTGAAATAGTTGGACTATGAAATGAATATTGATTGTGAACATGAAATGACATAAATGTCACATGGGTTTGTATTTTGTCATGATTTGGAGAACTATTGAACAATAGAAGTTCACTTTGAATAAGTGTTGAGAATCATGAAAATATTGCACAAATGAGATACATATATGTAATTACCTTGCATTTCACTCGTTTGTATCGTTTTGAATATTGTTCATTTACTGCTATGGCTTGGAAATTAATTCATTTTTTGAGAAAACAACTGTTGGAATTGAATTGTTTTGGGATAAATACGTTTGGTAAGTCCGAATAGGGGGGTGTAGTTGGTATTGTTCAAGTTGGGCTTGAGTATCTAGGGTGAAAAACCGCAAACACACGCGGATAAGGTACCACATGCCTTCCAGTTAGGAGCTGGAAAAGTAGGGGATTGGTAGTGCTTGTTATGTCTACTTGCAAACACCAGTCTAGAGATTACCTGAGTCGTATTTACCACTCCATTGTTATTATTTAAATTTCATGGAGAAAATGAACTTTTCGAAAGAAACATTACATGTGATTCCAAAGAAAATAGAAAATTTTGACATTTGAACATGACATGGCATTGCATTCATGCATATGAGACTGCTTAAATATATATACATTGTTAAGATATCTCTATTGGGCTTTGTGCTCACCCCTAGTTGATTTGTACATGAAAAGATGTGGTGATTCTACCTATTTGAAGGTGTGGAACGTCTTGAGAGCAAGAGGCTCTCTTCCTTTTTTGATCTTATGGCAAGCCAAGAGCTTAGTGTGTATGGGTTTGACAACCTTTTGTGTAACCAAGCTTAAGCCTTGAAACTTGTAGGCCTTGGGCATTTACTTTGTTGTTATTTCTTTTACTTTTATATTGTTACACATGCTATGGATTCATCCTTTTAGGAGATTGAATATTTATTGCACATGAACACTTTTGTATGTCTCTCTTATGAATGAAATACATATTGAGAGAATTGATTAATCATAGTAGGATTTGTTTACTGGATGGAATCATCATATCTATTTTATGTCTATTATTTGGGGGCATCACAATAATTCTTCTCTATGTAGAGGTTTTCTCCTCCTTGCATAGAGTTTATTTTTCTTACTATGTGGAGATTCATATCCTCTCTGCGTGGAGGGTCTCTTTATCCCTTTAGGAATCTGTTTTGTACTTTGATGTATTTTAATTGATGACTTATTGTCAGATGTGCAATATTTTAAACCTCATGTTTCCTCCCTCCCCTCCCTCCCAAAAAAAAAAAAACATAAGGTTTATGAGAACACTGACCTCTATCACTATCTACACACTTCAAAACCCTTAATACCTACACATCCTTAAAACCTTCAAAACACTCTAGCAGCTAGTCTTTCAGCGGTTTCTAGCGGGCGACAACTCTTCGACAGTACACACTTTTTTGACAATTGTAATAAATGAAAGCTTTTCTACAATTCCAATACCATGAGATGAAAAGACCATCACAATGTAAGCTCATAGGAGGTTCAAAGTTTAGATGATGCTCGTAGCTTGAAGGAGTTAACCTTATAATGATAAGTTTTTAAATATATATATATATATATATTAAATAGTGAACATGGTTCCACTTATTTTTAGTATTAAACTCCCGAATATATGCCAAAAATATGTCAACACAAGGCCGAATTAAAGGTATTGGTTCGGCAATGTCTAACTAAACATTATTCATATGTTCGGCACTTTGGATTCGAACGTTTTTATTCATATGTTGAACAAGTTGGATGTGACCTTAATGCATACTTTTGTTTTGATTATGCGACGAACTTTAAATTTATTTGTTAATTAAACTAGTTGATGTATACTATATTTGTTTGTAAAACTTTGATGGGTTAAACTTGTTCACAGGCACATAACTTTTCATTTTTATAATGTTCGGTAACTCAAGTCCAAAAATGTATAAATTGTTCGGTAACGCAGGTCCAGACATGGATAATTTGTTTGGCAACACAGGTCCAAACATGAGCAATTTGTTTAGCAACATAGGTTCAAACATGGCGGTGGAGGAATTGACGGCGGCGAAAGGTCAACGATGAGAGATTAGCTGTGACAAAAATCGACAGCGCAGCTCGATCGACAGTGAGAGGAGGATTGGTGAGTTCAACTATTAAGAATTCTCTAACAAATATTTAACAAATGACTAGGATAACGAGGACCGTAATATTTGTGTTCTAAAGAATTCTCTAACAAATACTGATGATTTATAAGTTTGGACTGTTGTAATCAATGGATCTTGGAAAGCTCACGATTGTAGTGCTGGTGTGGCCTGGATTTGCTATAATGAAGAACAAGTAAAAGTAGTGCAAAATGCATTTCTCTAAACATTCCGATAACCTCCTTCCATCTGCCAAAATTACATAGGCCTTTTTTTGGGTAACTAAAATTACATAGGCCATGAATCAAATATGTATAAGTGACAACATTTTGACAAATGCTTTGTTCTTTCATCTTAGAAAAGAGTTTGAGAACATCGTCCACCATTCTATCCTTGCAAAGATTATCAATAATCATGGTATACACTACGATATCATATTTACAACTTCCCATTCCCATTATCCGAAGGAGAGTAGTTGCCCTGCTAGTGTTCCCCGTTCTGAGAGCCCATTAACAACAGTTCCATGCATAGTCACGTTGGGTTCAATTTCTCTCATTCTCATTAATTTCCTAAATAATTCCATAACTTCAGGAGTATTATCTCCCAAAATAAGTCCATTGACGAGAGTTGTGAAGGTAAGGTAATTGCCTTAGGCATAAAACCACATTTAAAGAGGGAACCAAAAAGAGAACGTGAAATGGACTCGATTAAGGTAGAGTAACAATTGAAAGTGAAGAGATCGACCCCTAAAAAATGCAACTTGCCAATAATAAGAGAAACAGTGAAGCCATAATGATCATACCTATATTTCACCTAGTTTCATACACTTTTTCCCTTTTCCTTTTCAAATCCCTCCTTAAATCCCCCAACCAAACACAACATAAAGCTTTGTTGAAGTGATAAATGGGAGGGAAATGTTGCATTTAGAGCATGCAATTGAAGAAATGAACAGCATCATGGAGTCGTTTATTGGGTATTATAGAAGATGCAAGAGGAGAAATGGGGCTAGTAGAGAGAGAAGGAAGCAAAAGAAATATGGATGGAGGATTCCAACATACTAGGTGGGTGTGTGCCGATCCTATAACAAGGAGATACACAATCAATTTGTCTAAAATGTAAGAGAAAAAGTCAAAAAAAACAAAAAAGAAAAAAAAACTAATTACCCAACCCCATACACTTGCAAGAACAGACCACGTAAAATATACGTCAGGCCTAAACCTACAAGATAATTTATGCATAAGAAAAGTATAATAACGTTGAACACATCACCACCTAATATTAACACGAACCTCCACCTAAAGTTGAACTTCACCACCTGCCTAAACACCAAACCGACCAACTGACAAAAACAAACACTACATTTAGCAAACATATATATATATCCATAGCTCTGGCACAGGGCCATGCAATGCAATTCTTTGTTCAAAACTCAACAAGCCCACTCACAACCCAGGTTCAGTCCTGGATGCCCAGCCCAGACCACAAGCTAAAGCAAAATTTAGAAGGGGCTGCACTGCACAAGGGCAAGTAAACATCAGTGACCCATCTATAACCTAGCAAAAATGGTCCACACAGCACACAAACATGTGTATCACAGAGAGAGAAAGAGAGAGAGAGAGAGAGAGAGAGAGTCATAACCCATCCACAGGTAACCAGGACAAAGAGGGAGGGAGGGAAGAATAGAGTGAAGAAAAAGAGAAACTAGGAGAACAAAAGGTTGAGATATAACAAGCAAAGAACTGTGAATACTTCACAAATTCATTGATTGAACAAGCTAATGTTGGATTTACGAAGAGAATACATGTAATTTAACCGACACTACAACATACATACAACAATGACACTGCATTGGATCTCTCAATGACAAGAAAATACTCCCTCTCCCCCCTCCACCTCTAAAAATCTACCGTATCTGCAAACAACAGATTCCCTTAGACATCAAAAGCAAACTTGGGACTGAATGGTACAAAGCACATGAAGACGAGAAGAGTCCAAGATTAAGTACAAAAACAAAGAGCATTCCACCAATACAAAAGCAATAAAACCAGGTTACAAGAAAATGCAATATTAAAAACGATCACAATTGGAACATAAATAAAATTCCTTTTTTCCCCACTTGTTACTCGTTACTTCCCTTTTTTTTCTGATACGAGGGTCCGTCCTAAATGGTCTGCAATTGGGAAAAGGAGATCCGGATCATTGAACCGTCAAGTGAGCTGGCATGTTTGCACACAAGGGCTTCAGTGGCCTGCTCTTCATTTTCGAATAGGACAAGGGCCTGCTTTTTACCATTCATCTCAAAGAGCTTGGTATTGACAATGGTGCCATGCTCTTCTAGGTGGGCCACAATCTCCTCCTCGGTGACATCTTGGGGGAGGGTGGACAGGTGGATCATTTTGGTTGGGGAGCAGCAGTAACGATAATTCTTTGCGGCATTGCGGTTGAAGCGATTGAGATTTGAGTTTGAGTACTCATGTGTATCCACACCAGTTGTAATGTTTGGATGCTTTGAAAAGTTTACCTCCAATCGTTTGCCAAACAGCATGGCTCCCTATGAAAGAATTTAGATTAATTTTATTACCGTCCAATGAAAAGGAAAGTTCCACAAAAGTATTTCAAGTTCAAATTATCGAATAACAGGTCAACTCCGCTCAATAAAGCCTATCACAGTAAATAAGCAATCAAGCACACTTAGATCTTAAAGAATATTGTTTGATCAACAAATAACACCCACAATTCTTCAAGTCTAGTGTGTTCAAACACAAACCAACATAATGAAACAAGCCTGAGCTAGTCAATAACACAAGCCAAATTCTAACATACCATCACAGTCTAGTTACAAAACTGAATTATATCCCACAAAATCAAGCATCATGACTGCAACTATAAACTAGGAGGGAAACTGAAAAAAAAAATATTAAATGAATGTTAAGAGGAGCCAAACCTTCAAGAAGTGTACTGCTAATTCAGCCTGGAAGCCATCACCCATCTGAACTAGCGCATGATCTGGTTTATTGCGGAGAAGTTTAATTCTTACAATGTTTCCATAAATGGAGAACAGATTGAAAAGTTTATCCTCGTCTATGCTCTGAAATGAAAATTACAAAAGATTAAATAAAATAATTAATATGTTACCAACATTAACGGTGGGGCAGAACCAAACCATTGAGATCAGAGAATAGGCTGCGCCCATTGAATGCAAAAAGAAAAGGAAAAGGAGAAGTCTGTGGAGAGAGAGAGAGAGAGAGCTTACATCAGGATTTAGGTTAGATACAAGAACAGTGCACCTGTCATTTGTCCCGCTTATTCCAGGAGGCAAGCCTCCTCCAAAAGCAGCTGCAATGGCAGCAGCAGAATTGCCCATCTACATGAGGAACAAAATAAAATCAAGTTACATGACACATCCAATGAACAAGATAAAAGCTAACGATTATTTGAAGTTAATTATGATTGATTAAGACAAAAATAGAACATCCCAAGCAGAAAAGGGGGGAGGGGGGGGGGAATGGAAGAAGATTAAGAAAACCCAAATCAAGCCTTGTGCACTAAAAATCTCCTAGTAAAATATCCCAGTCCACCCATTTTTATTTATTTTTTAATCAAACTCCTTGCTGCAATTTGACAATGAATACCATCAAATAGAGCTAAATGCAGGCAGGAGATTAATGTCGAAAGTGTGAAATAGTTGTCCCAAACTAGGCAATCATAACAAATGCTATATGATGCAACTCTTTGGAATGCAGGGTTTGTAACAAAGAAGAGAAGTCAGCCTGTAGATGTCCAAATAATCCCCGAAAGATGCAAAAAGAAAACAAATTTCCCAGCACTGGGAAAACTTCACAGAAGGGGCCAACAACATGAGAGCAATCAGTACCCACCTGCTGAAATCCAACTGAAACACAGAAGGAAATATACAGATCAGAATGTGGTTAAACATCACAAAGAAATATTTAAATAGAGGCAGCAGATAATTGTTCAACTGCCAAATTAAGTACCTGCCCTGGCTCCAGGAAACATGCTTCCTGCATCTCCATACCCAGGCTGGTCCTCCATGCAGTAAACATAAATTTTAATATCCGAGGTCAAAGTAGAGTATAAGACATACTACATCATCCATGATTCATTAAAAAAAAAACAAAAACATAGGCACTTACTTGTGAGGATCTTCCCTTCTGTTCTGAAGGCAGAGATGGGTTTGTAAAATCCCTAAACAAAATCAACATCATTATTACAATAATGCAATTAGAATAAATGAATTCAAAAGAAAAACCTTAAGGCCCCGTTTGATTGTTCGGATTGGATATAAGGGTTTGAGGAGGATATGTAATGCCTAAGGATAATGATGGGATATAACATGTTGTAGGATATGAGCTGGATTATATATATTGTGGGGTCACTTATATTATGTTTGATTAAGATAAGATGTAGGATGGGATAATGGAGAGTAATTATTTTCGACATTTGGATGAAAGATTCCCTATATCCGATGGTGGGAGATATACAATACCATGGGGTGTTGGTATTGCATATCCCCCCATTTTGCATCATATACTATCCAGACTCCCTATATCCGGAGCAACCAAACAAGGGATATAGGGAGACAATAAAATATGTGGGACCCACCTCATATTATATCCGGTCCCACCCTCATATCTACCCCTTATATACAGTAAACAAATGGGGCCTAAGTAAAAGAAAACTGAAAAATCATGCAGCTAATAACACACCTTGAACGTTCATTATTGTAGTTCACTTGTAACTCATCGAGGCTGAATAATAAAAGTGAATGATAAATACAATATCCACCATAACATATAGAAAAGGAGGAAAACCCAAGCAATTATGCATATGCACATGCCCCCAAGAAATAAAAAATAAGTTTTGAAGGTTTGAAGCCTACTTCGAAAACTGAATGTCCAGCTGACAGCAACCATCATAAATATTGCGCCCCTACAAAGCAGTTCCTAGAGTCAAAAACTTTTGCGAAGAAGCTGAACCAGCAAACAGAGCTAAAACAATCTGTCCACTTCGAATAAACTTGCAGAATACAGTATGTACTACAGACCTGAAGAGAGTTTCTTGCCAAGACAGCACTTTGGCGTAATTGATACTGTATAAGGGCTTGAAAACCTACACAATTTGCACATAAAAGGATAAAAATAGCTGACAAATAAAATATAAACGGTTTATGAAACATTTTGGGGGATGGATGGCATCTTTGAATTATTTTAAGGTACATATGATATACAATGAAATACTCTCATAATTTTAGCCCAAAAAAATATTCAAAGGTAACGAACTAGAGCCATTGCACATGCAAATATTAATGAAGCTTCCTGACAGAAATAAATGTCATATCTCATACCCTCATAGATTGTTAAAAAAGAATTGAAATTAAGCAAAAAGAGAGAAGAGAGAGAAAGAAAACTTGAAGAAGCTGACCAGCTGACTTCTGAAATGTGACGATCTTCTCCACAAATCCATGAGGAGAAAACACTTGATGCAGAACTTCCACGGTTATAGGATATAGCATGTGATGAATTGTAACTAAGAGAATTCGATTAGGCTGTGTATCCAAAGTGTGCGCGACAGCAGACCAGCATAGAGACAGGAGAGAGAGAAAGAGAGAAGAGAATGAATAGAGAAGAATAGATGGAGAAAAGGAGAAAGAACTACTGATATAATAAAAGAGTAATTTCCCACAAACAAATAGAAACCACTAAAACAAAATATAGACAAACAGAAAAAGAAAAAGAAAACTTTATACAGATATATATGGGAGAGAACAAGAAAGAAATTTATTTAGTAGTCAATTGGTAATCTGCTTTTATGGTTAGCCACATGTGACACCACTAAATTATTATCATCAAAATATATGCATACCTACCATCTAATATTGCAGCCCAAATCTAGATCTGCCCATTCTTCCTGAACTCTATATTTTAGAATTCTGCTGGACCATATGAGAGCATTTGGAGAAAACAACTACCAATGCTTACAATTAAATAAATGTATTGTTGAACTTCTACGAGCATTGTGTATGTGGGTCCATCAATATAATAAATTAGTTTAGCACATAATTTCCAAAGAAACATATCTCAAGTTGTTAAGAAATGTCGCCCAATACACATGGAGCCGGGAAAAAATTTGACATCACAGTGACAGATACATAAGAAGCAGGTAACTTATAAGAACCACATTGTTTTGTGATGGGATAGTGGTGTTGACAGCCATCTCATTATTGATGATGCATATGCACCGGATTTGATGCAGGACACATGATAAGATGATGACTATTTACATCATTTGGTGCCACATTGACACTACAAGATTATATATTATCCTGCTATGATATTATTCATTTGAATAAAGAATGGTCCTAATAATCAAATTTGAATCGTACTAATTTACCATGATGGTAGGATAGGTTTACAAGGTATATCAGTAAGTTTTTGTGGTTTACTTATTCAAATAAAAAAACAATCATGGCTGAAACAGTCCTAAGCCTCAAAGATGAATAAAAGATTCAAGAAAAATTGAAAGAGGCAAAGTGCACTCTTCAGTTTTGTCTAACTTCCTCTATCAATATCTCTGTCTCTTTTATTCTCCTCTCATATTTCTCTCTCCCAAATATTTTTCTCGTCTCTTCTTGTTGTCTCGTCACATATCTCCCTTATCTCATTTATTCATTTTCCCTCACCACTTATCTATCTCTCTCTCTCTCTCTCTCTCTCTCTCTCTCTCTCATATCCATTTTCAGAGCATGAAATTTAAATTAACAGAAATATACAGGCATAACCAGATAGTAAAGTATATTGAATGAAAATAATTTCAGTCCAAGCAAATGATGCAAAAGGTTGTTAGTATGGACAAGGGGATTTCAAAAGAATCAGGACACATGCACATGGGGATATGGCAAAATATAATTTTTATATTTTTTTTTTTACTTGCTATGTATATAAATATTACATCCATAAACAATCAAAATTAGTAAAAACTAACACTAATTTAACACACACACACACAAAAAATATAAAAAAACAATCATGGCTGAAACAGTCCTAAGCCTCAAAGATGAATAAAAGATTCAAGAAAAATTGAAAGAGGCAAAGTGCACTCTTCAGTTTTGTCTAACTTCCTCTATCAATATCTCTGTCTCTTTTATTCTCCTCTCATATTTCTCTCTCCCAAATATTTTTCTCGTCTCTTCTTGCTGTCTCGTCACATATCTCCCTTATCTCATTTATTCATTTTCCCTCACCACTTATCTCTCTCTCTCTCTCTCTCATATCCATTTTCAGAGCATGAAATTTAAATTAACAGAAATATACAGGCATAACCAGATAGTATATTGAATGAAAATAATTTCAGTCCAAGCAAATGACGCAAAAGGTTGTTAGTATGGACAAGGGGATTTCAAAAGAATCAGGACACATGCACATGGGGATATGGCAAAATATAATTTTTATATATTTTTTTTTACTTGCTATGTATATAAATATTACATCCATAAACAATCAAAATTAGTAAAAACTAACACTAATTTAACACACACACACACACACACAAAAAAAATAAATAAATAAATTTAAATTTAAAATTACCCAGAGCCTAGATGTATGTATTGTGTTAGGGCTCTAACCTTTAGGGATTGTTAGAAGCCAGTCTCTCTCAACTTCATAATTATGGTTAGATTTGTGTTGGTTTGATATGAGTTATATATATTTTTTTTTAAATCCAACCCTCATGTTTCCAAATATTATAATATGACCTCCGAAAGTAGCTTGGGAAAATTAAATTTAGAGTCCATAGTGTCCCAAAGCGAGTCCCCACCATGTCCGGTGAAAAAATATTTATTAAAAAAATGACACCACGTGGCATGTCAGACATGTATCCCTACCGTTTTATGTCTCATATGTGTCCGACAAGACTACGGCACCTATTTTGAAGTGCCGAATTAGCGATGGCTGTATTTTTTTTTTTTTTTTGCCAAGTACATCATATAAAGAGTACACCAAAAGGGGTGGGGCATAACCTTAGCACAAAATTGTACAGAATCTATAAAAGCTCAACACAAAAAGCTCTCCAATAAAATCTACAAGAGCAAAAGAGGATTCATGAAAAATCTGACACCAAAGATTATGCAATAACAATGCTTGAGCTTTTGCACCCATAACTCCATCGCTTCAAAATTAAGTGTGTTCCTTACTCTCCACAAGAACCACATGATACACAAAGGTGCCACCATCCATGTTTTCTTCTTCCTCTTCATCCTACATCCACCTTCCCAACACTCCAATGGCCCCGTTTGGTAGAGCTGTGGGAAAGTGATTATAACTTATAGCCTAACAGCTTATACCTTATAGCTGTGAACATAAGCTGATTTTTTACTTATAAATTAATCTTCTCCTCTCCCACTCAAAGAATAAGTTGATTTTTGACTTACAAAAAGCTATAAGCTATATTGTTAAGCTGAACCAAACACATCAAAATAGCTTAAATTAAGCTAAAAGCTAAAATAAACTGGAAATAAGCCCTACCAAACAGGGCCAATAACTTACAAAAGAAAGCTAACAACATCACGAAATGAATATCAAGAACAGCCATAAGACAACTCCTTAACTCCTTGGCAAGATTGCAATAAATCAATAAATGATCTATTGTCTCCTTTTCTCTACAATACATGAAGAAAAAGATGAGGGTTGGATAGAGTACAACCTGTAAAGTAGTCATCCAAACAAACGACACCACCTTAGTTTCTACAACCTCACATGTTGTACAATATTTGACCAACTCTTCCTAATGTCTATCCACAAATCCACCTCATACGATAGTCAAACTTCCCAATGTCCACCCCCTCTAATTCACTCCAAACTTATAATCACTCACTCTTCTCCATAATGGGTCTTTCTCTTCGACATATCTCCGCAACCATTTATCCAAAAAAGCTTTATTGAATTGGAATCAATTTCATGAACAAAGCATGAATCTATCCCGTACAGCCCCTGGTAATCTTAAATTCCAACTCAATCTAGAAAATGAAGAAAAAGATGGGTTGTAATAATTTTTCTACTATTCGCCTACATCATGTCATACCCTAATAAATTTCTCTTTAACATTGACTCCTTTTTCTCTTACACTATTCTCAAAATTTTTATTGAGTTAATAAACTATAAAAGCCTTCAATGATTTGGGGACTGCAAGGTTCAGAACTACGAGGGAAAATTCCATAACAGCTTTCTTAGTAGAGCAATGTTCATTACCACAATGTTTCCAATGGCAAGGCCCCCTTTCTCTTTGGGGAGAGAAAAGTGCCTCCCACTTTGCCAAATGGTCTTTTTTTCACTCACTCCATCCTTCCGAAAGAAAGTCCCTTGTCATTTCTCAATTTTATTTGCATCCACAACTGGAATCTTAAACAAAGACAAGTAATAGATATACGGATAAAACACAACACAGACTGCACCGAAGTGAACCTACTTCCTCCAGAGAACAAAGCTCTCTTCTAACCTTCCAACCTCATACCCATCTTTCTAACACTGGAGCTCAAAAAGACTACTATAGGGTTGTCATCCCCCAATGGGAGGCCCAAGTACTTAAACGGAAAATTCTTGAAGGCAGTACTAACACATAAAATGCCATTATTAATGTAAAAATCAGCATTGCTAACCGTCAAAAATAAGCTTTCCAAAAAAAAAAAAGAACTTTCAAACCACCATTTTACCAACATTTGTTGATCTCACACCGCTAAGTACAAAGTACTAACCTCATCACCCCGGCCTTGAGTATTCTGCTCCACAGTTGTTAGCTCTTGATGTGATGAGAATTGTACATAAACATTTCTTCCCCTAGATGTCACAATAAAAAAATTGATCAAGAAAAACCAAAAAATAATGATAATAATTTGTTGCTTCAAAAGCTATGCAGAAATATTCACAAAAAGGTGGAATATAGTTACTGCAGATCCAGAACAAAAAATAAATAAATGTTTATTACATCATGATACCTTATGCTTGGCTGAACACCTGTGTAGAATTGCAATGCATTGACAGCTGAAGGAACATCTTGCATTTGGAGGAGTGCCTGCATGCATGAAAGTATACACTACATCTAAGTTCTTGTTTTTAGCAATAGTTTCAAACATATAAAGATCTCTCTACCAATAATAATAAAAACAAAAAAGACCTGATTTTTGGCACGAAGCATCACGAGCTTGGTGATGACCCCAAATGGCTGGAATAGCTGAAGCAAGTCATTCTAGTAAAACATCGTAAACTGTGTCAGTAGATGTATACATATTAAAGAAATGCACACACACACAAACAAATATGATCTAACACACTGTAAAACACAATCTCCTGCTGGAAAAGCATCAAAAAATAGTACAAACGTATTAAAGAAATGCACATACACACACAAACAAATATAGCTATGATCTAGCACAATGTAAAACACAATCTCCTGCTGGAAAAGCATCAAAAAAATAGTACACCAGCTAATCACCATATGATCAGAACTTTCTATTTTTTTTAGCAATCATTCATGTTTATTTGGAATCAATAAATGCCTCAACCTACGCAAGTATTTCTCATTCTTTCTTATGAGATCCCTTTTTTTGAAGTCTATACAATTTATCGCAAGCTAATCACCATATGAGAAGAATTTTCTATTTTTTTTTAGCAATCTTTCATGTTTATTTGGAATCAATAAATGCCTCAACCTACGCAAGTATTTCTCATTCTTTCTTATGAGATCCCTTTTTTTGAAGTCTAGACAATTTATCGCATTTTCACTGCAAGACAATTTTGTTACGATTATGGATGTCTACAGACTTTACACAATAAACCTAGCAATATTCACATTAATTAATTTTCTTGTGTTGAGTTCCTTTTCATACTCATTACTTCTTTCTAACCTGTGACAAGAAAAAATTACTTCTACAAATTTGGAATTCTAGTTTTCTTATTTTTGTTTTCAGTAGACATGTTCAGTTCTTAATTCAATTTTTTTTATTTACTGTTCTGCATTCACCTTTGATGACATAACAAATATTCCATCCATTAAAATTACATATACATGCACTGAGGCAAAGGTCTGACTCCTGAACCCATGTTGTGTGTACCATGCTGCAGCAACTGCAACTAGAATGCATCCCCTCCACCAATTGAGGGGTCTTCTCCTCTTGTGTCAAAATAAGGCAGTAGTGCATAAGGTCCACTTATCGAAAGTAATCTTCAGGAAACAAAAGCGAGCTTACCCTACACAATTCATGATAGGAGAGGAAGTGAATCAGCCTTAGAGTTTCCTTTCTTGCTTCAAATGGTTAAAGAATTCAATACAGCGGACCTACTTTCCCCTTCTCTCGCTCTCCTCCAATTCTCCTCTCTCCCCTTAATCAATAAGGTCTGAGAGGAATGAGAAAGCGTCTTAGATGATACATGCAGGGTAAGTGACAAAGGCGGATATTAACTCCTCTAGGAACCAGCAATGCGTAAACCATGACCAATCACTATCTGAACTAAACGGGTTCAAACTTCTCCTAGAATAATTTCCAGTGCAAAATGAAATTTACAAGATGAGTAATTCAAAGGAAAATTATAAATATCTGACAGGATTTTTTCATTTTAGTAATTGACAAAACAAATAGGATTGATTATGTATCACAATTTCATCATACTAATCTGCAAAGCGTGAATGTCTCTATATCTATTTTCTTGCTTAAAGTCGAGAGTGAGGTTAACCATTCATTAAGCTCAAGCTGGCAAGCCTATGCCCCCAGTGATCTGCTTCACCCAAGAAATTGAACTAACTGGCAGGTCAGTATACAAACAGAGGTCTCCCTTGTAATAGGAATGAAAAATGACCCAACCTAACAAAGTAGAGCCTTTGAGCCTGCCCAAGCAAAGATCAGCACTCGAAGCCTTGAGTTGAGGAGCAGCCCAAAAAGGGGAAGTTGTGGAGACGGCAAATAGCATTCGAGTCAATACTATAATGTGCTATCTAAAGTCCCCCACCTCAACACGCTCGCTCACTTCTTGAGAAACTTGATTGGAACTAAGGAGAGGCAAATATTACACCACTTCATTGGAAGAACAATTTGGTATAATGACCAAGATTTCAATATATGATTTTTTCTTGACCGAGTAGGTGTTTGGCATGTACTAAAAAAGTGCACTTTTTTGCATACATACACTTATTTGGATCATATCAATAAACATCTTCTCTCTACTTTTCTACTCACTTTCTCTACTTTTCTACACATTATTTTATAAAAAGTCAAAAAGTGAACATCCCAAACCACCCCTGAGCCTCTTTTCACTCACACCCAAGCCCCACTGAGGACAGCTACTGGACCTGAATAAGTAAGGCCTGTGATCCCCGCCTTTAGAAAAACCAGTATGTAAGTAAATATATTTTTTCTGTAACCAAATTTCAAAATGGTAATAAAGCATCCTTCACACATTCTTGAAGTCCCATTCCTATCAACTTAACACACCCCAAAGGCTATCTTTGGGTGAAGGGAATCAAAGAGAAGGAATGGGAATCTGATTACCAGAAATCTCATTGCTATATTAATGTGTCTATATTTTTCAAGTGTTTGGCATAAGTAGGAATTCTCTATTGAAAATTGATAAAAATTTAAATATCGTAGGTCCGCCTACTTTTTTTTTCTTCTTCTTTTTCAACACTCAAATAGTGCTCATTATTCCAGGAATGTAAGATTACCGTTGGAGAGTGGGGATCATAATTTGGGAATGTGAATCCAGCTTGAGTAGGTAATCAAGAATCATTTCCCCATTCCCATCCGTTCCAAAAAAGTGGAATCATGAGGACCCGAATTACATTCTCGTTCCCCTCAAGATTCCTGTCATCCAAACTGAGCGCAAGGATTTTACGATTTGATTGTGATTCCTGTAAGATGCTTCCACCTTCTTGCAGGTTTTTTTCAGAATAAGTTTGACAGGAGACGAATGTGTTTCTAAGCTCAAACAAAAAGACTTAAACAAGTAAGGCCAAGATGCAGAGGAGGATATACTCATGTTTCTTTTTCTCACACTAGCAGAACCAAAAAGGAAAACTTTCACAGGGCTTAGTCATTTAGGGAGAGCACAATTCAGGAGCATAACGTAAAAGAAGAATCAAAAGTCATTATCGGTAAATACAAAAGCTTAAAACACTGTCTACTTACATATTTACAACACACACACATACATAGAGGGAAAGAAGGTACCTCAGCAATTTCATGCCCTACATTGCGCACATGAATGACTTTGGAAGGCTCAGTCATCTTTAAAATACCCTGAAATTAACCCAAAAAATATGATGATGATCATAGCATACCAACGACATCAAATCTAAAAGACATCCTCAAAAAAACAAAGGGATGGAATAGAAACAAAGCAGAAGATTTTTCTTTTACTGAAAACAACAACGACGAGTTCTTTCAAAAGATGAGAGTGCACTAAATATAAATAGCAATCAAACCAAAAATCAAAGCTGTGTTTTCCTTTTGTTCTCAAAACTGAAAATTAAAACATCAGCTAAACCACGAAAATCCAATCTATACCCCAAATCTAATGCAATCTACCGAACAAATTCAAAAACGAACTAGAAAAGCTCAAGAAAAAGATCCATCCTTGAACCTCAAAACCCTAGATTCATGTGAAGTGAGCAGTGAATCGAAAAATCGATGAGAGAAGAGGACCTGAAAGGAGCAGAGTGAGCTTACCTAGAGAGAGAGGGGGGGAGGAGAGAGATAAGAGAATTCGCCGGGGAGAGAGGGAGGGAGAGAGCGAGCCTGATGTGCTATATCTAAATCTATATATATAATATCTATCTATACGTCTATCGAATCGATGACACGTACTTCGGTGGCAAATAAACAAAAGTACTCTGCCCTAAATTTGATTCGCCTCCTCTCCAGTACTATCCAATCCAGTCGTCATCGTGCATTTTCTTGCCAATCCTTTGTCCAGTTGTTGGACCCATCAATCAGCAATAAAGTGATAGTCGCAATTTATAAAGGTGACAAATGTGATAAGATTAGGTGATAGTTGTGGTCAATAAAGGTGATAATTAGATAAATATCATATTAGTTATTCAGATGATCGATCAACATACACAAAACGTGACATCTCTCTTCTTTTTAAACTTCTAATTGTCCAGTGTTTTAATTGTATGAAGAGTGCAAGAGGTGCTAGAGAGAAAAATGCAAGAGAGAAGGCAGATCCTCTAATTTTGGACTTAATGATGCATTTTGTTGTTTGTTGTTTTGTTTTCTGTGGCGAAATTTATTTTTAAACTAGTTATTGACTCTTGTAATGTAAATTTCCCATTTTGTCCTTCTTTTAAATTCATAAATAATATAAAAAGTACAATTATGACATTGATATTCTCAAAAAAGTGTACTATCAAAGGGTAATTTTGGAAAATCAAATTTTTAAAAGTACAATAATTGTATTACCAAAAAAAATTAAATTCCCCAAAAGGGACCATTATTTTGGACGGAAGGAGTATTAGTTATTCAGATGATCGATCAACATACACAAAACGTGACATCTCTCTTCTTTTTAAATTTCTAATTGTCCAGTGTTTTAATTGTATGAAGAGTGCAAGAGGTGCTAGAGAGAAAAATGCAAGAGAGAAGGCAGATCCCCTAATTTTGGACTTAATGATGCATTTTGTTGTTTATTGTTTTGTTTTCTGTGGCGAAATTTATTTTTAAACTAGTCATTGACTCTTGTAATGTACGTTTTATTTTATTTTTTAAAATATTTAATGATATAATATGTGTATTATAAAAAAATAATATTAATTTTAATAAGAATAAATTATATTGACACTCCTTGAGATTTAATTTAATATAGATACTCTTTCCACCTTTTAAAAATTATAATCCCCTTCTCATGATTTGAAGTCACATTACAAATAGCCTCTTCTATTAGGGTGTGTTTGATTGGACGGACTGGATAAGGGGGATTAGAATCTATCGGACTTGAGTCCTAGGACTGTGAATCTCTCAGACTATTTAGTTGGATTAGATATATATCCTGTGTTAGTTTTTTCATGGGACTAGATGTCTGGAAATGACTATTTTTAGTGAATCTAACGTTTGGTTGGACGGATTAGATAGGATAAATGAATACAAGACTATTTTACCATTTTTCAATTGTTTACTAAGTAATAGCAATATTAAACATATCTTTAATATTTTAATTATTTTTAGCTAGATTAAATAAAAATTTATTTTATTTTATTTTTTACACAATTAAATAAATTTTTTTTTTAAAATAAATAAATAAATAAATAAAATATCAATAAAAATTTATAATATTTTTTTAATTAAAATTTTAAATAAATTTGTTTTTAAAAATAATAATAATTAAACAATGAAATTAAATAAAACATCTATTAACATTTAAATAATGAAATTAAATAAATTATAAACAAAATTTTAAAATAAAACATCCATAAAATATCTATAAAAAATTATTTAAAAATAAATAAATAGAACATCAATAAAAAGTTAAATAAAATTATTTTATTTTTAAATTGACACATTTAAATTTTTTTAAATTTTACTAAATATAATACATAATTAAATAGTAGATGATCAAAGTTGTCATTTTACCATCTAATTCCAACAGCGGATTGTCTCCCCAAAATTGTCCTACATCCCCCCCCCCCCGGACACAATAGTATTTGAGTTTAATATACAGATTCCCCCTCCATCTTTTGAAAATTACAATTCCCCTCTCTATGGTTTGAAGTCACATTACAAATAGCCCCTCCCCTTAGTTGACTCTTAAATAAACTACCAATTTTTGCTATTGTCGACCGCTAACATTTTTTAAATGCCAATTTTACCCCATCTGTTCCCCTCTGTTATTGTATTTTCTTCTCCTCTTCTTGCAAGCACATGACAAATAGCACCCATTTTATGAACCAGCCAACACAAATATAATTTTATCAATATATATATATATGCATCAACACAACCAACAGAACAACTAAAAAGAAGGGTTATTGCACAATACTATAGAAGAGTTATGATATTTGTAGTGTTGCAAATGTCATAATTACATATTTTTAATTATAATTAAAAACAAAATAATGTGTCATAATTAAATATCATACATAATTTTTTCGGTCATAACTAAAATGATAATCACAATGAATCATAATTAATACACAATGTAGATTATAACCAAAGACTTATAAAAAATTTCTTTTATTTATATTTCATTTTCAAAAAACTCTATAATACACGTACCATTTTCAACCAAAAAAAAATATTTAAAAATAAAAAGAGAAATAAGACAATTAAATAATATAAGTGAAGTAAGATAGCTCTTTCTTTCATAGCCACCGACATGTTTTTCAAACCCAACCCAGAAAACATATCTCAATCTCAGGCGATTAATTAATAATTTAATATATATGTGGATGTGTGTAAAAATTTATATATACACCAAAGAACTGAACAAAACATAATTGAATTTCAAGACCTTCTTACTAGTTAAAATTCTGAAGCTCAAAAGAGAATATTGATATAAAAGAGTAAAATCGTTTTATCTTTCCAAGCAAATATATGTGTTTGAGAGAAAACAAAGATACAATTCAAAACTTGCTAGCTATATGAACCAGAGGCGATTTGAACATAGCAACTTAATCTTAAAAGGTTTTACCACCCAAAGCTTAACCAAGCAAGTGATGGCCTACACAAATTCCAAAAGCAGAGCCTTTTCCAATTATTTCCTTGTTTCTAGTGCTCAAGAAAAATTATGTTTGAAGCAATTAATCAAGTATATAAATTCTACATGTGAATTGATGTGACCACGATTACACCCGTCTGTGAAATTGTCTTTGGAAGCCGGAGGAGCACCACACCCGGTCCCTAATGCTGTGTTTAGTTGGTGGATTTGAGGAGAGATTTGAAAAGAGAAATGGAAAAAGAAGGTGAAATGTGAATAAAACATACCTATATTTCACATAATTTCACACACCTTTTCCTTTTCTCTTTCCAAATCCCTCCCCAAATCCCTCAACCAAACACAACGTAAATCTCTCATGTTCCCTCCTTAATCAAATCAATCATTGGGCACCGTGAGTCACTATGGCCTGTGAATCACCATCGACAGCTCTCTCTTACCACAGTCTTGCTATTAATAATGGCCATTGTCTCCTCCTCTTTTCAATAGTGGAATTGAAATTGTTGTGGATATGAAAATTGATGATCATGGGTGTTGATGAGTTTGGTAGTGGTTGTGGAAAAGAGCATGGTTGTGGGGTGGAGATTGGGTACTAATTTGGTGGTGATGGGTTTAGCAATTGTGATAGAGGTGAACATGGTGTTAGTGGTAGAGATTTGGGAGTTGATGTGTTTGGTGGCAGTGAGGCAAAAGTTGTAGACTTTTGGTGGATTATGTTGTTTGAGCGACGAGAGAGTCGATGGTGAGTTGTAACTTTGGAAAGAAGAGCCAAGTATTAGGTAAGGGTAATAAGGTAATTATATATTTTTTATTACTTAAAAGGCAAACATTGACGAGGGGTGCAGTGTAAGGTGGAGGGAGAATCTGTATTAAACATAAATCTCAAGAGGTGTCAATGTAATTTACCTTTTTAATAATATTGACACTATCGTTCTATAAAAGTATTACTTGAATACTTATATATATTAATTTTAATTAAATTATTTGTGTATTTTGATAATTTTAATTCTAGCGTATTATAAAAGTGTAATTATTATATAATAATTTTGTGTGATATATATTAAATTATAAGATAGTAAAACAAATACTCATTTTGATATTAAAAATAATTGTTAAATTAGAAGAAGAATTAGTAACATAAAATTAAAATTAAAATATAATTTATTAATAGTAATTCTAACTATTTAATTTTCTTTTATATTTATTTAGATTATCATATAATGATTTTATATGATATATATTAAATTATAAGATTGTAAAATAAATACTCTTAATTAAATTAAAATATCAACTATATAAAATAATAAACAAGAAATAATCTCATAACAACATTTAAACCCAAAAAGAAAAAATAAATGAAAAACATCCAAATGATAGATACATCTTACTGTGTGAAATAATTAATCATCTGTAATATGATGTCAAAACATGAAAGAGTTTACTGTTCAGCAATTGAAAAAACAATGCAAGTGGTAAATCCAAATTTTAGAAGTTCTTCGAGAGTATTATTGTTATGTATATTTTTCTTCTAATGAGTTGTGATTATATAAAATAATGTATAAAAGATTTTGTACAATTATAGTTTCTCAAATAGAATACATATAAAGTTGGTATTGGATTTGTGGATTATCTGAATTTAGGATGAAAAAGTAGATAAAAAAGAAGTATTTCTCAAATACAGTCTATATAAAATAGGTAAAGTTATAATAATTTAAATTGGGTTTACGTTTGTTTAAAACTCTATATGTAAATGGAAAATGCATGCTTGATGTGACTTTTTTAAAAGAAAAAATAAAATAAGTCTTTAGAATGTGCCGCCTAAGATAGGAAAAAACGCTACTCATATATATATATATGATCTAAGGTTGTTTGGAATGATCTAAAATAAGCATATTTTTTGACTTTTTATAAAAAGATGTGTAAAAAAATAGAAAGGTGATGTAACCCAAAAAATAAAAAGTATACTATTTTATATTGTGTTTAGTTGGGGAATTTAGGAAAGGATTTGGAAAGGGAAAGGAAACATATTTGTGAAATTAGTTGAAATGTAAGTATATTTTGTTCACATTTTACTTACATTTTCCCTTTCTCTTTTAAAATTCTTCTCAAAATTTCCTAACCAAACACAGCCTTAGTACATCCCACACAAGAGGGGAAAAAAAAACACTTTTAGTTGATTTTTAATCTTTAAAAAATTATTTTTCCACAAAACAAAAACAGAATAAAAGCTTGTTTGGTTTACAATGATTTTATAAAAATGAAAT